AGTTGTTGACCTAGTGCGGTCATTTCGTCTCCGTCCAACGCACCCATTCTGCGCAAGAGCTTGATCGCGCCATCAACGGCTGTGCTATCAGGCGGCGTAGGCGACTGTGAGAGGAATCCGGCCACGTTCCTCATACCCATGGCTCGTACGGACAGACACATCTGCTCCAACGGTACTCTCCTGATTTCCGGATCCGGTCGCTCAGCCATCTGTTGCTCGAGATTCTTGGTATACAGCTTGTAGCACTTGCCGGCCTGCACTCTGCCAGCACGACCACGCCGTTGCTTACACGCCGCGCGAGAAGCCCAGTTCTCCTCCAACTTTCTCATGTTGTTCACGGGGTCGTATGTAGTCTCCTTCACCTTGCCGCTGTCGATAACGGCAACAATGTCGTCAATCGTAATTGAAGTCTCCGCCACGTTGGTAGCAACGACAATCTTTCTCTTGCCATGCGGCGGACTGGCAAAGACCCGTTTCTGCTCTTTGGTCTCCAGTGAGGCATGCAGAGGCAGAACGTGTAACGAGGAGAAAGACCGCAGGACGCCACACGCCCTGTTGATCTCGGCCACTCCGGGTAAGAAGATGAGGATACCGCCCGACTTGCCCGTATGAGATAGATCCGCGTCAATCTCCCGTACGGTCTCTGCCAGAAGGTCGTAGTTGATGCGATGGCCCAGCTTTTGAATCACCTTGCCCATGGCGTCGCCTCGTCCGCCATCTCCATCAATCATGTCACCTCTGAAGCCCGTCATGTTGATGATATCGTCTAGGTAGAAATCATCAACAGGGTACGTTCTTCCAGCAATCTCCACCATGCCGACGTCCAAGCCTTGGGAGGTGAAGTAGTAGTTGAAAGATGCGGCATCAAGCGTGGCGCTCATGAGGACCAACTTCAAGAGGTTCTTCCTCGTCTTCATGACCTCCCTGACAATGGTCAGAAGGAAGTCTGTATCCAGACTACGCTCGTGCACTTCGTCAATGACAATGTGACTGACGTCTGCCAGCGACGCCGCAACGTCTTCAATCTTTCCACCAGAAGTTTGCAGCCTCCTCAGTAGCACACCAGTCGTCACGAATGTGATTTTTGTGTTGTTGCTTCTACGGTTCTCGCCGCGAATGGCGTAACCGATTTCGTCTCCAACTCTGCTACACCGTTCCTCGGCCACACGGTCGGCCAAACCAAGCGCGGAGATTCTCCTGGGCTGTGTCACAAGCATATTGACACATTTGCCCAGGCCCCTGTTGTACAGGTCGTCCAGAATGAACTGCATCGACTGCGTTGACTTTCCGGAACCAGTCTCACCACTGATGATGGTAACGTGGTTGTGTTCGACGGTCTGAACAATCTTGTCACGAACCTGCCACGCAGGTAACTTTTGACGCTTCGACATCATCTTCTCCCACGCTGGATCCTCCGTCCTTCTCAACCAGTCATCTCGTGATCGTTCGTCAGGTGTCCACGAGATTGGCTTAGGAGCTCTCTGGGATTTGTTCGAGGCTCTCTGTGACCGGGCTTCGTTGGGTACCTCGGACGCCGTCGAGGCTACTGCTGAAATGTCCAACAGTTTGCCTGGCCGTTCAATTATGTCGTTGATATTTTGCTGAATCCAGTCAATGGCAACAAAGACCTTCATAGGCTCCTCCCAGTAAGAGTCGTCTAGATAGCCAATCGTCTGCTTGATTATCGACAGCTTAATCTGCGCCGGGAGAGGTGCCACAACGGCAAAGTTGAGCTGGGCAGGGTAATTCGGCGTCTTGCGAACCTGAACGGCTGCCTCTACCGGCTTCCCTGCGTTCTTGACCTTTTCAAGCTTTACTTGGATGATGTCCACCGATGTCTTCTTGAAGAGGTCGCCGAAAGAAGACTCCATCGCAGAAACTTCATCTTCCCAGAGCTCATTCGCCGAGACACCCGGGGGAAGAAGATCTTCCGCGGTCGATCGCGACTCGTCTCCTGACACTTGCCCCAATAGGCGGAGCTGAAGGAGCTCGGCTGCCCGGCCTTCGCTACCGCCAGCCTCCTCGAGGACGCGGGCGCACAGGTCGAGGGCGTAACCAGATTCTGAGAGACGTTTGATGACAGCTTCTTTCTTGAGATCCATGGACGCGACCGAGATACCCGCCGCATAGCTCTCCGGCAGTGCCCATCGCGGCAGGTCATCCTCAGGAACGTGAATCAACAGCCACTCGAGCGTTTCCTCACGGTCCTTGCAAATCTCTGTAGCCTCCTCAACGTGACTTCGTCTGAATCCCAGCTTGCTGAGCTCGTCGACAATCGCCTTTTTCTGAGCCGCTGGTATTTGAATCTTGTTTGGGTTCCAAACAACATACTTTTGAATCAGTGCCTCGACCTGGGTTCGCGAACGCTTGCCCATCTCAATCTTTGGCGCCGTCACCCAGCCCTTCATAGCGTTTGCGCCGGCTAGCCCAGATGCGCCAGGCATAGACTTTGCCTTCTCCTTGGCCGCCTCCGCCTCCTTGCGCTTCTTCTCAGCCGCGGCCTTGGTGTCCTTCCTCTCCATGAGAGTCTTGAACGGGTCCGCGTCGTACATCCACGCCTTGCCATCCTTGACGTCCTGCTTCTTGATTTCCTGGAAATCTTTCCACATGGACTTATAGTCGGGCGGCAGCACCATGTGCTTGTTCTGCATGCTGCACACCCTAAAGAGGGCATACGTGGCCGCGGCATGCCTCGCCTCCAGGGCAGTCGGCCTGGTGAGCAGATGTTTGAAGTCCGGCGCAATCTTGAACGAGTCCAGGGTCATGAGCTCTTTCGTCTTCGGGTCCTTTGCGCTGAGGGTGATGAAGCAGGCATATCCCTCCGGAGTCTTGCGCATGTCGTAGACTGGCTTCTCCCACTGCTGCTTCTGGCAGTACTCATTGAAGAGGTTCTGCGGCAGCTTTCCGGTCCATGACGACCCGCCAATGATCTGTTTGACGGTGGGCTTATTGGCAGCTGGACCGGCGGCCTGCTCCATGAGCGATAGACCGCCAGTCTTCTTGCCTTTGGCGCCGTCTTTGGAAGACGATGCGGCTGCTTGCGCCGCTGGGGCTGGCGCGGCGGCCTTGTCCTTTCCCTTGCCTTTCTTAGGCGGTGCCATGGTTTGGTGGCGTGTCGAGGCGTTTGTCTAAGGGCAAGTCTGAGCCATGGAAAACGCTGTTGGCGGTGAAGACGAGAACGCAGTCGGTCTATCGTGAGCCACCTCAGAGTAATTGCGCGAATGAGCTCGTTGCGATGTCACTGAAAGCACTGGGAAATTTTATTTGCCCGTGGATTTCCCAGGTTGATTGGGGTGGTTGTTGGAGCCCAGTTGCAGAAAGCCACTTGCCGTTAGCGGTTGCAGAGGCGGTTTGCAGTGGCCACTCAGCGACCTTGACGTTGATGGTGGCTGGCACTGGATGGAGGGGCACGGCTTCTCCTGCAGCTCCCCCGCTGTGGGTACCTCGATTATGTTCTTTGAAGGGTCCAGCCGGATCTCTAAACTGCCTGATGCACAATCACATTTGTTGCCGTACCCAGGACATAGCCTTTGGTCGCAACGAGACCGCAGACCGCAGCTTTGAAGCTACGGAGTCTTCTTTACCACTGTACTTCGTATAAAGAATGGCTCATTGAACACAGCGCACACTCTGGGCCACACGCAAAGCCTTTCCCACACCCAGCCAAACATCCCACCCGCAAGACAGACAATGGCGGGCACAGACTCGGATCCTGAAGACGCCATCACCAAGGATGAGATCCAAGGGACCGCCGCCGCGCCTGCACAACCGCGAAATGCGTGTAAGCCATCCTACAAAAATCTTCCCCGAAACCTCGCAAGCATTCTGACCTTCGCGCCCCCCTTAAGTCGCAGAGCTCATGACACGAAAACGCAAGCCCGAACCGACCCCAGAACCTCCCAAGGCTTCTTCTCGAAACAAGCCCCCTCACACAAGCCGCGATGGCCTTGGTGTATACATCGAAAACCCGTCCTCCTTCCCTGCCTCGCGCGTGATCTACCACAATGACGATTTCGTCGCCATCAACGACCTGTACCCGAAAGCCAGCGTCCACACGCTACTGCTCCCTCGATCCCCCAAATACACCCTCCTTCATCCGTTCGAAGCCTTTGACGACCCCGAGTTCTTAGCGACGGTACAAAATGAAGTCTTGAAGCTGAAGGACCTCGTAGCCAAAGAGCTACAGCGACGGTTCGCAACGGAAAGCAAGGCCGAGGCAGATCGGGAAGCCGTGCTCGACGGACGCGCAGAGCCGACAGGCGCCGAGCTTCCCCAGGGCCGTGACTGGCACGCCGAGATTATTAGCGGCATACATGCGCATCCAAGCATGAACCATCTGCACGTCCACGTACTTTCGCGAGACATGTATTCCGTGTGCTTGAAGCATCGCAAGCACTACAACTCCTTCAATACCCCCTTTCTGGTCGATGTTGCCGATTTTCCACTGGCCCCGGACGACCCCAGGCGTCATCCCGGCCACGAGGGCTACCTCATGAAAGTAGACCTTGTTTGCTGGAGGTGCAAGGATAACTTCAAAAACCAGTTTGCGAAGCTGAAGGAGCACCTCTCCCAAGAATTCGTCGAGTGGAAAAAGGAGTAAAGACGGTAAGATCACAACTGCGATATACAGTAGCGCAACAAGGGGGCAAATGAGGAAAAGCAAAGCGTGGAGCAGCACGACCTCAGCCCAAAGACGCAAGGTTGCGTCTTCACAATAACAACCATAGAAGGGTGGAGACGAAATAGTCTCGTATTCAGCAAAAAGCATGATATCTCAGTAACGGTCAGGGTCTCGCATGTCGCGCGGTCTGCAGGCGGGAGAGGACCAGGACCGTCATCGACACCAAGCCCACTAAACAAATCGGAAGCGATGCCCCAACGCCTTCTTATGTTTTCCCCAGTGTCCGCCAGACGAAAAATCCCAAGATCCCGTGCGAAATGTAGCAAAAAGGTCTTCCCCTTTCGTCCGTTGTATTACTGTGGATGAAAAAGTTTCGTGGTCAGCCGAATATTCCTCGTATCATTCTCGATGGCAGCCAAGGACGCACCTCTTCAGCAGAGTCCGCGGCGTCGGATGGCGACTTCATCGCGGCGTCTTCCTTAGTTTCCTGTGCTTGATGTATTAGTGAGCCGACGTTCATACTCGTACACGAGCCGGAAGGGGAGAGATCTTGAGCTAACCTTCCTCTCCGTCTTCCGAGTCGGAATCAGCGGGCAATTCCTCTTTGGCAGCCTTGCCCTTCTTGGCAGACTCGGCCTTGGGTGTAGCGGCGGCGTCAGACTTGCGAGGACGGCCACGGCGACCACCAGCGCCGGCAGACTTTGGTGTAGCCTTCTTGGGAGTAGCTGCGGTTGCGTCGTCGGCCTTCTTGGGTCTTCCGCGCGTCTTGGTGCCAGTGGTACTAGGTGCGACCGTCTTCTTCACGCCTCCGCTACCTTTTGGGCGACCACGAGGACGTCCCGTGGGAACGTAGGGCGTCTTCTTCTGGCCATCGGCTTTGGGGGGTCTACCCCGACCGCGCTTCACGGGTTCCTCAACGGTTGGCGCCATTGTAGATTGTGTGTGTTAAACGAAAGTTATTTGCGAAGAAAAAGAAAATGTGGGAAAAAATTACGCAGGAAATCAGAGATCGTGAAAAGCCCCTCGAGGTACTGTACAATTCTTCTCCGCGACGATCGAAGAGAATGGGGTTCACGAAAAGGTCTGGGAGAGAGTGAAGTGTGAAGGAGAGAAGACGCCGAAGGCGGGCGGACAAGTCCTAAATGTGCAATTAAGGTCCGATGCTCATAGCGCGGAAGTGACCCTTGTGGGTGGAAAGCGCGTTTGCGCGTCACTCTCGCGCACATGGGGAAGCTACTACCTTAGGTTCGTTGAGCACCAAAGGTAGGTACCCGCTTCTGGGGTAGGTGCCTCCCAGGAGTCCAGGACCACCCAACTTCAGACTGAAAGCACCAAGAACCATGGAGATGCATCTACATTTAATGAGATAATCGTGCAATAACCCAAAATCTCCCAATACATCATGTTTTGGTATCAAAAAAAAATGCAAATCAAAATTGCACTTTCCACTGGTCCCATGACCAAAGAACACTCAGGTCCCTGCTCTGGCACAAGTAATCAGAGTGCTGACCGCATTAAGGTAAGGTCAGGGCCCTGAAACCTCAATTGGATGCGTCTCAGGCCAGATCAGGCAAGGTAGACTTGCTTTTTCGTTGTTGAAGTGATTGGTAGTCACATATCTATGCTGGGAGTTGACAAACTTTCAGGCGAACGCAACACTTAGTCTCTCACGAGGCTTGGTGTACGGACAACAGCTAACAACAAGCTCTTGGCAGCCCATTCTTCCCTTATTGTCGTTAGTTGCGAGTGGAACAACGTCAATGGACGAGACATCCAAGGTGTCGTTCACATATTCTTGAGAGTGCATCTTCAAGGCGATAACAAAGCTCCAGTAATTCCTACGGGAGTCGCCAACATCGGCTTCTTGCCTTGTATGTAGCTATTGTACAGTACTTTTGTTTTCCTTCTCCAACGTCAACTCAATGTAAACATCCTATAAGCTCTTTTCCAGCTTGTTGGGCTCTTCAAGGTTGCCAATCTGTGATCGCATGGTTGCTATCTTGTCCAACGTATCCACGTTCTTAGGCGGCTCGCTTCGTAGAGGTGCTACGTTCCTACTCGCCCTTCTTGAGCTTGCCACTGGCACCGCTCTTGACACGCTTGGCAACAGGGCGGTTGATGTGGTGGTCGGGGATCCAGCTCTCGTCGTAGCTCTTGCCAGTCGAGGAGGCAACACCAGTGGTGTCAGCCTCAGCCAGAGGCACGGTGACACTAACAGTGCGCGCCTTCTTGGAAGACTTGGCCTTCTTAGCCTGGGGGAAGAGGGCTTCGATCCAGGTCTTGTAGACAAAGTACAGAGTACCAGCGAAGGCACCAGACAGGAAGAGGTAGAGGAAGATGCTACAGGAGATGTCAGCGGTTGTCATCAAACCATAATGGCGGTGCATTGGTTGTAGAACTCACATCTGAGGGTCAAAGATGCTGGTAGGGGGCTCGACAATGGCGGCGGTGGAGTTGTAAGCCTGGACCTGGAAGATATCGCCCTTGGAGTTGCTCACGACAGCAATAAGCTGGAGGAGAACATCCTGGGGGTTGGCGTCGAGAGCAAAGGAGTAGGGAACAGCCTTCTTGTCGCCAGCCTCGATGGTCAGGTCGTAGCGGGCAGCCGTCAGGTTGCGGATGATGCTGTCACTGGGAAGGGAGTCCTCGGGAAGCTCCTGAGTGGAAGACAGGGTGCCGCCAACCATGGCGACCTGAATCGGCGCATCCTCATTGTTGGTGAACTCGATCAAGGCCTTGGTGGGGTGGCCATTGACGATCTTCACACCAAAGATGTCAGCATCGGGGAAGGTGGTCTCGATGTCAGCCTTGAGGGTCGGGGGAACAGCGTCGGTGTCGACCTGGTGATGGTTAGCAATGAGCATCAGTGGTGCTAAGATGTCAAGAAACATTACGTACAGGGGCCGCCTCGGCAGCGAAGACGCCGGAGATGGGCAGGGCCAAAAGGGCCAGGAGCGAGGACCTGAGGTAAACCATTGTAGTGACGACGAGGGACAAGCAGTTGGATGCGACGTGACCAGTTCAACGATCGCAAGCAAGGTTGACTGTAGTGGGGGAGAAGGGAAAGGAGGAGGGAGGTAAGGAGGAAGATGGGAAGTGGCAGATGGAAGATGGAGATGGAGACAGATGGAAGGGGGGCTGGGGCAAACCCAATTCAACTCAGATCGCGTGCGTCTTTGCGCTGAGGTGTCAGGTTGGATGGGTAAGGTGGGCGGGAAATAAAAGTGTGCGTGAGGTGGGTGATTCAGCAATGGGAAAGAGAGGCAGACTGGACAACCGTGGACTGGGAGGCGACAACAGCAAGGTGGCCTCACAGCAATCGATCCACCACCGCCTTGGAGAAAAAAGGGACCTCCCTCGCACCGCGCCCATGGCCTCGTCAATTGAGCTGTTGGCCAATGAAGTGCCTGACGCACTGCGGAGCTACCCCATGGTGCAAGTGCCACATGGAGAACCAGCCACCAGCTTCCAAGCGAGTGGGGCACCTCAAGCTTCCATAGCTGGCGCGCTGGTCAGCTTGACGACCCAATCATAGCTTCCCTCGGCCAGGGAAGGGAGCTGTACTTCAACGTCAATAATGTACCTTGAGGTAAGTACGAAGGTAGATGCCGGTATGACTTCCAGGTTGAAGATAGCACGAGAGTGCCAAGGTGATACTCGCGCTCACCCAAAATCTTGAAGTAGTGCCCTCCACACTAAAGGACTTCATCAAAGCATTAAATCAACGGACCAAGAATACTGTCAAGATATTCATTGCCTCCTTACCGACCCGACTACCGTGACGCCGCCATCCATTGTGGCCATCTCAGCTGATCCTCTAGCTGAACTGTAACAGTACATAGAAAATGCAAATCCCACCCCCTTTGCCAAAGGATTATAAGTCATACACAAGTTATTGCCTCGTCCTAAACCATCCCTCAGGCAGTCATCATAGTTTGTGCCGTTTCATCTATGCCACACCTCCACGGATCGCGCTTGCTTTTGGTTTCGGTTCTGGTATGTTGCTCCTGGAAGCCACGCCCATCGTCTGCAAGGTTTGTTTGCCTTGCCCTCTAGAGGAACCTTCCTCCAACGCCAAAACAACCTGGCCGCGTAGTAAAGAAAAATCAAAATCGACTCGGGCCAACCGAAAAGTAGTGAAAGGCTGAGTAAGAAACCAGTCATTGGTATCGTCAAGTCGTCCAGTGTCGTCAACGGACCGCGCGGGCGGTCTAAAACATTGTGTAAAAAGAGTTGCCGGCGGTTCATCAGTCGTTGCGTCTAAAGCCCGGACCTGTTGTCCAGCCGTACTCGCAATCGTGGTATTATGATAGCCGCCGCAGTTGCAACCAATATCGCGTCGGGTGTCGCTTAGGAGAAGAAAAAGGTCGTTGCATCGAGCCAAGTGCCCCGCGGGCGCACGGGGAAGTCCCTCACATGATGCGTCATCGGTGGTCGAGCACAATTGTCCCACTAGCTCTGGAGCTCGACCATCGGCTTGCCATGATGAGGTTGGCCAGCGTTGCCGTCGATCTCGGCAAAGTCATAAGCCGCCACACGGCCTGTAGACTGGCGAACAGCGGGCAGGGTGAAGCCCTTGGCAATCTCCGTCTCAACGTACTCAGCAGCGCGCTTGTATCGCTTGTCAGAGTACTTCTCAAAGACCGCAAGGTGGTGCTTGCGTGGGTTGTAGCAGCACTCGAGGATCATAGTAACTAGGTTCTTGAGCTGGCCCCAGGTGTATCCAGAATAGTGGACATGCGCAGGAGTCTATTTTCATTGTTAGCGGCTTGGTATAATAAACCTGTTGGAGTAGACATACCCAGTCACCCTTCTTCAGGATCAAGCGAGACAGGCAGTGCGCGGCAGCAGCGAGGAAGCTGGGAGGGCTCGCAACGAAGCGCTCGTCCATGATGGTCACCTCCAGAAAGTACTTGGCCAATGTGCGCGTCTCCAGGTCGTAATCATCCGCCTTGCTAACGCGACGCAAGAAGCTCATCGGACCAGGGAAGCCGAGCTCGAAGCTCAACATGCTAAGCATGAAACGCTCAGCCTTGAGGATCTCGTCAACCTTGTAGCCGTTATCTACCATGAAGACGATCTCCTGCAGCGACGGGCAGTTGATCTCCTCGTACTTGGAGGCAACGAGCAATGCAGTTGCACCAACGAGCTGAAGCTTGCCGATCGATACAACCTTATACGAGAGGAAGCGATCGATGTAGTTGACGGTCAAGAAAAGCGTCTCCGGAAGCAGGCTGAATCGGTGGTGAACTTGAACGAGCCAGTCCATCAAGACGGAGCGCATGGACCATTGAATCTCGGCCTGGTTGTCCATGTAGTGAGGATCAGGCAACATTCTCATCTGGATGTATGATGATTAGTAGATGCCTGTATGAAAGCTATACGGGGCACACAAACCTCAAGCTCCCTCATGTACTCAAAGATGTCATCTCCATACTCTGCAACCATGCAGACATCCCAGATCTCGTCGTCAACCTCTTCCTGGGTACGGGTACTTTCGACGATGGCACGGGCAGTCTCCAACTCTTGCTCGACCTTGTCGGTAATCTTAGGAGCGAGTATAGTGGTTGCGCCGCCCGTAGTAAGGTCGCCGCGGGAACGGTATGAGTGGGCAGTCGTGTAGCCCTGGTCGTCGTAGAGCTCTTCTTCGTCATCCTCGTCCCAATACTCCTCCGCCTCCGACATGTTTGGAACACCCAGTGATTCGGAAAGAGGCTCCAGGGAGCTAAGCTTGTCAACGGCAGCATTCGATGATACAATATCCTCAGGTAGTTCGCTATCCGGAACGTCCAGCGAGCGTCTGTGGTAGGGGCCATGGTACTGTTCTTCGCCAATGTGCTCGACGGCATCCTCGTAGGTAGCCTCCGTCACATCATCCATAGACTTCCAGGCTGCCGCAGCAGGAGCAGCGTGTGCAGGGGCTGTGGTCAGCTTGCTTTGTGTGCGTCGCAAAACATGCGCAGCAGGCTCCTTCTTAAGCTGAGGCTGAGACTTGTGGTGACGAGGCTGTTTGCCAGAGGCTGACTCTGAAATGGGGTCCTGGGCCACGAATTTGCTCTTGGAGGGACGAGCCTCGTAAAGCTGAGCAGCGGAGGATCTCTTGGCAATCTGCTTGTTCTGAGTCTTGGGCTGCTTCCACTCCGCAGTCACGGGTCCGTTCTTGCTGCTGAGGGCTGTGGCCCGCTGAGCGGCCTTGAAGAATCCATCTTTGCCATTGACCGCGTTCTCCTTGTTGTAGATGTGATCCACAGCCTTGCCCTTACCCGCAGTCTGGTCGCTGGGAAGCGAGATCAGGTTCTTCACGGTGTTGCTGACGTCGCCGAATGCGGTTCGCTTAGCAGCAACCTGCAGAGCGCCGTTGCGAGGCATGGCTTGCAGGTTACCGGTAGACTTGTGTCGCTGGTGAAGAGAATCGTGTTTCGAAGGGATGATGTTTTCGTTGCCACCTGGGTGGACTCTGAGGCGCTGAGGCTGTTTGAGTCAAGTCAGTCGATAGTTTGAGAAAGTCGCCCTTGCTTGGTCCTTGGGGCGAGGTACGCGGGCGTGGTGGTTACGAGGGAGGATAGTGACTTACTCTAGCGTCCATCGCGACTGCTGGTCTTGCAGATAGCTACCTTAGTGCTGCTGGTTGAATCTGCTCGGGAGGGCACCTTTGTGGGGCAGTGAAGAATTATGAAGGCGCGCAGTGGATGTTGATGTGATTATCGTGGGACTGAGAATAATTGCGCGTGGGATAGCATGTAAACACCACAGTGACTCGGTTGGCCGTGTTGTGGAAAGTCGTGGTCCCCAATTGCTGCCGATCAGATACGGGCACGGTTGGTCAGAGTGAAGGGATGGGCGAGGGACGGGAGATTGCGACGGGTAGGGATATAAAAGAAGGGAAGGTCGGTTTATCTCTGCGGGATGGTAGAGGATAAGAACCAGACCCGGGCTGCCTCGACAACGACCAAAGTGGAGGAAGGATGGGGACGGGGATGTAGAGTTCGGAAGCAACTCTTGATGGGAAGAAAAAAAGGTCTCAGCCAAAAAGCTGCACGATGGGTTACTGCCACGGCGGGCGGCTTATGACCAAAAACGGCCTGGTAAGGTTGGAGCGGCCAGAATGTGCAGTGGACTTTTTTGGGTTGTTTACTTCCGTGTTTGTCAATACAGCTGAGAAATCCGAGGTACGCACCGGAGACGCGGTACCAACGCGCCACCTCATTGGCTGAGAGCGATGGAGCCCTACCGTTGGCCGGTCGATGGGTGGGTCTCAGCATCATCGCCGCGGGGCCAATTGAGCTCACTTCGTACGTTCGTATGCATTTACCTTACCTTACTCCGTATGCTTCCTTCCAATGGGCTCTGTCTCCGATACCATGTTTTGGACAGCCCATGTCTCTACGCAACGATGCGCATGAGCAAATCCGGGGACCTATGCTCGAGCAATGCGTTGCGAAAGCAAGGCACGAGTCTTCTGTCATCGTTTCACCTAGACCACACAATACAATACCACACCGTCCTAGACAACCATCGTTGTTGTTTTCCAACTTCTGTATTGTTTGCGCCAAATACTACCTGACTATCTTCCCAGACCAATCTTCTACAGCGAGACGCCGTTCGTCACCCGTTTCGATAATCTCTCCCCTTTTCCAAGCTCGACACTCCCTTTACCAACGGCTTCTTACGAAAATCCTTTGTCCATTGTGCTACTGAAACCTGCAACGTCTACCATTAGCTTGGCTCCCGCTCGAGAACACAAAGGCAGCCGACCCACGTTGGCCTCTAGAACGTTGGGCGACCCGTGGAAGGAACGCCATAGCGGCCCAGAACAAAAAGGCATACGAAACGCATCGCTTCGAGGCTCGAAGTCGTTGAACGGTTCCTGGCCAGCCAAGCCTCGCCTGCCGTTGTCCTCTCCTCCGGTCTTTCAGCTCTGCAATCCAGCCTATCCAGAAGAAGCCACGCCCGAAACCGAAACCCATCGTACTCCGAGCTGTGATATCAGCACTTGCCACGGCACCTGTTGTGGCGAACGTGGTCCTTGGAGTTTGAGTGCGTTATATTGAACTGTAACCAAGGTCTTTGTTCTGTCGGGTGTTCATGAATACGTTGCCTCTGGTCTCTTTCTCTACTAATCAATCTGGCTTAGTTTCGCCATGTGCTGGAGTTCCACGCTCGCAATTACTGCCTCACTCACACAAGACCTTTCTGACCTTCGTTGTGTTCTTTTCCTCGGCACTCTCGACGCAATACCAGGTCCTGGGTACAACCTCTCAAAGCTCCCTGCAATCCCAAGTGATACTATGAAGTTGCGACCGAGCTTTAGTTACCTATATCTAGAAGCAATTATTCACCTAGATATTCTCTCGAGAGCCTAGACAAATTTGGCTCTTAATGTACTCAACGTCATGGTGAAATTGAGTATTCTTCGGGGGAGGAAAACATGTGCTTGACAGACTGATACTACTTCGGATCATTACGATCAAAATTAGGTGGTTGTTGAGTTTAACTTAGCGACTCCTACGAGATTCCACAGTGGGATACATATTCTTACTATCTTCTGTAATTCGAACAATAAAGAGCTCCAGCTAGGGAACATTCGTGTTATACGCAGGCACGAGCCTTGGTCTCTACCGCCTGCTTTGCCCTTCCTCCAACTGCCAATGATTCAAGTGTCTTTGCGATGTACTTCATACTCGAGTGCGCACAATTGCATCGAAGCGAACTGAGCTGTTCTGGATTGCCGTATCTTCATTATTCCTTGGAGAAGACTTTGAGGACTCAATTGATGGGACTGGAGCATGGTACGTCTCATTCCATCATGTCTTGTTATGATGTAACAAATTTCCAAGGACCAACGATTAATGGCAGAGAAAAAGCACCACGGAAGCGCTTGCAAATAGAGGCTAATTGATAAGAACAGACAGTCGGAACAAAGACATAGGCTGGGCGAATCAAGTATAGTGCTATTAGAGACATACCAGCTCCCCTTATTTGGCCAGGAACCAGCAGGCACACGTTTGTGCAAAGCCGTCTGGCAAGGCATGCCGGTGTGACTAGGGAAGAATATGGTGAATCATCTCGAAGGATATACCATGTGATTTAATTGATCTTGCCTCAATTTTTCTCAAGACTGCTGGAGTTATTAATACCGTTCATATGAGGGCAGGATTGCCATGTTCGTCGTCGAGACCATTTGTTTTCGGGGCCATCCACGTGCTCTGTGCATGGGCCAGCAAAGTTGTCTTTTGATATCAGCATCTCAGCCTCAGGCTAACACGCTTTTCTCGAATGGTACCTGCTGTTGATACTTGGAAGGGATAGGGTATCGGCAGCATCGAAAGCCGCGAATCGGGCTCGAGAATTGGAAATTGCGACTGGTGATCATGCTCGTTTTGTTTCCACCATACCAACTATGCGACGGTTCGCCAATATTTCGCTTGCAGAAGCTAGCTACTCACGTTTATCTCGCATGGCTTTACTCCCATCTGAATAGTTCTACACAATCATTACAGCGCACAAAAATTCGAGGGCACCAGTAGCAGACAGATACAGCACCAAATAGAAAAGGGAGCTTAAATTGTGTGAAACGGAGATCCGGAAAACGATGGAAAGACCAGACGGCAGGAATGACGGGAAAACCTCGGTATCCCCATCCCCTGTCGTCATGCTTTCGCAATTGTGGAAAGGGCAACGCTAGTCCAAAAGGGGGAAATGATTTTGATCCTCCTCTTACCGTCGCGTCTTCCGAATACCGTTCAAAGGAACACATCGCTCAACATCATCAGCAAAAAATCATACGAACTCACGAAAAGCCACCACACGATATAAGGGATGATATTGAAATCAAATTTGAGGCCAAAAGTCTTGATATGGACCGGAGGTTGACAGTTCCACCCCGCAGACCACGATCCGCTAACCGCGCCCTCACTTGACACCAATTAACCACGAAGTCACGTGATGAGATCGTCACACGTTCCCGCTCTGTAGCGGAGCTCGCCTCCAAAGGCGCCGCATCATCAGCGTTGCGACTCACGCAAGTATCGATGTAAAACCTTCTCTTGAGGCACCCCGGCGCCTTTGCACCACGAACTTGCGCAAGGCCCCTCCCACAACGCAAGTTGTTCGACCTGGCGCAACTGGCGACAAATGCGACGGAATTGGATGTACGCGCCTGGCCCGACACCTTGCGACCGACATGAGCAGATCCATCCTGCAGAGCTGTCGTTTCTGGCCAGTCGCATTGGCGCAACGCGATGCGCCTGAAGCATCTCCTTTGTTTGTTTTGATCAAGAACAGAATTGCGACTCGTCGGACGTCGGGCCATGTCTCTTGTCAGCCTCTCCAGCTGCATGATGGAAAACGAGGGGAACCATCAGGGACCGGCTGGGATGTGCGCAGACAATTAATATTTCTGCATGATGAGCACAACTTCTCCTTCCCACCCCTCATCGATGACCCGCCACGCAAGCTGCGCTAGACGGGACGACCTCCTTTCCAGGCACAAGGTCGAAGGCTCGAGGCCCGGGGCTGCAACTGGACGGAGGGCGCCGCAATTGCATCTGATTGGATTCGGCGCATTTCCCTTTCGCACGCGCACTCTTTGCTCATGCTAGGCTCTACAGTCGCACAGCACCACCTTCCATCACCTTGCGACGGAGTGTCTTGGAATGGGCCGCACAGCTCAGCTTGACTGACGGATATCATGACCATTCCGTCGCGACTCGCCATTGATTTTCGAGCATCGGGGGATATTGCGTAACAGTTTGAGAGGGAACTACTAGCTCAATACGAAAGCTCCCAGGGCTTAGCACATATGCGACGGCTCCGAACATGCCCCCTGCAACCTGTCGCAGACTTCAAGCACAAAAACTGGATACCCACCGGCAGTGCAAAGCCAGAATGAGCGCACGGTACGCCAGCTGTCCTGGAAGACCCTTTGCCTGTCGCATTGCCTCTTCTCATTGTCTTTCAAGCTGTCGCGCTCAGCAGAGCAGTATCGACCAACAGCTTCTCAGGCTTGACGGGAGAGAAATATTAAAAGAGTACGAGGGGGAGCGAGTGTGTGCGTTTGTCTACCTTGACGGTATTCGAAGGCGCGCGCGTGTGCGCAATCGCACACACACAGTCGCAATCCATTCCGACTAGCTCACCCCATCCGATGCTCCACGACTCACGAGACCTTATGGCCTCAGAGACTCCCATGGAAGAACGGTGAAAGAGGGGCAGACGTGGCGTGGCAAAAGCTACCCAGCCATGCGAAAAGAATAGTAGGTCGAGTGTGACGCACCAGGGTCGCAGAATTTGACTGATGCCGCCTCCGCTCTATCGTTTCTCTCCGCCAAATGCGTTGAAGCCACCATGCGCGGGAAAGCGCCGATCCTCCCGGTAGAATCCAGCGACACACACACTCCCACACAGCTCCATTTCTAGCTCGGTGGTACCCGTTTGTATCCCAAACCAGCAACCGGCAGCAGAGCCCGCGATTGACAAGATGGATTCAAGCGACCAATCGAAGACGAGTCGCAGATATCGTTAGGTTGGGCTGGTCTGTGTTGTTTCTCTGAGTTTTGCGCTGGTGGCGGTTGTGGATGAACATGGCATGGCATCGCATCGCATGGCATCGCATCGTACCGGGATAGGGTCCACGAGCTAATCGGGTCGAATGGGCGCAACGACTGGGCCGACACGCAGACCACGACTGCTCCTGAATCCTGAGAAATATGTCGATTCGCTGTCGGAATCTTCTTCGCCTCCTCAAACTCCATCAAGAGGGCAAAAACAGGGTCCAACAAAAAGGCATCGACTGTTCCATTCCCACAAGCCGACCAGTCCAAAGTTCAAACCTCGACGTGGCAGTGGAGCCCCAACCTGCGAGGTAACGCAAAACAAAGAGCAACAAGCTGCGTTCGGGAAGGATAGCTCATCCCTGCGAGGAGATCTGGAGCCTGGGCGCAAAAGTCTCGCCAGGTATCGCACACCGTTCTTTTGAGTGCGGCCGGCTCCTGAACTCCCCCGATTGGCGAAGAGGGACTTGTTGGGGCCTGCAAAACCCAGTGCCAGTTCATCAACACTTCTCCGCACTGCGCTCACTGGCAGGGCCGCAAAGGAAGAGATACACACTATACACTCAAGAGGCAGGCGAAAGAAGATGCGTGGATGCGTCGAGCGATCCACACATGTCGTCGTCCCTCCATGCCATCCCATTCTGTCGCAAAGCGCGAGAGAGAGAGAGAGAGAGGAGGGGGAGGAGAGGTGCCAGTGACTGTTGTCGGTGTCACCTTTCTATCTACCTGAAGTGGGGATTTCTCAAGGCCAAGCCGTCGAGCCTTTGGAGCAAACGCAGCAGGCGAGCGGAGGGGAACTCGGGATGACGGCCAAGACCTTGCCCATTTCCTCGGCCTAGTTCTTTTATGTTGTCTATTCGTACCTCCATGGTGATTCGGCAGCGACATGACACTTGAAACCCCCGACCAGCGCATACAACCGTAACATGACGGCCTGAACCAATCTTGCTTCACGCTACAAACCGTCCCCCCAGCCACCTCATCTATCAAGCTCGCGGATCGAGCATCTAATCATGTCTGGTTCCTGGTCCTACTAACAGAGCCAAAGATAGGTATGCGCAGGTGCGAAAATCCTCGTGCGCATATCACTTCCGTGCGAAGGCGCACTGGGGTCATGCTGTGCATAGAGAGCAGAAAGGTCCGGACAGCAAGTGGCCTCGATACCGTGTACTATCGGATGTCTGCCCCTCGCCATTGAATAGACATAGACTTTGGCCGTCTATCTGGGACAGACCTATATGTTGTTGCTTTCTCGGCCCCATGCTGCTGGACGGGGACCCATCCGAACAACACCATGAAACGAGCTGGACGGGGGGTTATCGATATCGATGAACCAAACAGTGCAGCAGCAGGACTCTCCTCTTCCTCCTCCACCACATAATCAAAACATGCGCCGGGCGAACCCTCTGTAATTCAATCAGCGTGTTGACAGTTGAAACCAGTGCAGACCGAGCAGACCGGCGCTGGAGTCTCTACCTGTGCCATGCTGGTAGCCGCCTTAGCCAACATTCCGCCTCGCCTCGTGCATGAGCCAGCCGCGCTACGACCATCCTTCTCTGGCCGCTATCTTGTCTTGTCCCTCTTGGTCCCCTGATATGCGAGACTCGTGGCGCCTTGAGCTGGTCCGAACGACAATGCCATTGGCTCAATGACAAGGTGGCTCGCAAACCCCGTTCCCTTGCTGAGATCCTGCAGTTTTGTCTACTGTACATCTGACAATGGAGAGTCCATATGCTGCTGACTAAGAAAGTCCTGCTGGATGGCAATCGGATCTGGAAATTCACGGTCATCGATATCAAAAGGGATAACCGACCCCCGGGACGATCGCAGGACGGAGCAAGTCTCGTAGACGGCTCCGTGAGAGACGAAGGGGCCCCGGGGTTTGAGTGGCCGTATTTTCATTTCACCTAATAAGACTACATTCTCCGCCAAACAAGCTGCCGCCGCTGGTTAGTCGCGGATATCATGGCGCTAGGTGGCATCCGCCTAAGACGGGTTCGTGGTCTTTGCGCCGTAGAGCAGGTACCGTGCTTTGGGCTGGCTCCTCTCTATCTCTCTCTCTCTCTCTCTGCCCGTCTCTTTGGAAATGGGAAGACATTAGGCGGTTTTTTTTCTCAGCTGAGGTATCCCGTACCACGGTGGGAGAACGATCTCAATGGTTGGGGACGGATGGATTGGCGCCAAAACACTGGCACACACACACACACACACACACACACCATCCGGCATCCATACCGGAACTTGCAGCTTCTTTGGCGCCTTTTTTTTGTTGGAGCATGGCATCACGTGGTGGTGTACCATCCAGGTAGGCAGTAGGTCAGCAATGAAAGACCCAAGATCAACAGAAGGGCCGGGGTTCATGGGTCCAGGTATCTTTGAGGCGGTTTAACTTGGAAACGGGCGAGTTGAAAGCTGGATCCCCCCCCCCCCCCCCGCGACAATGGGCCATCGCGGTCCTCAATTGTGTGACGGAGAGCATTTGTCGCAAAGCGCATTGCAAGAGGCAGTCGAAGAAGGGAGAAATGCCGATAGCTGGCCCAGACCGTACCATACCGAGGACAGCAGCTTTCCTTTGCGCCAAGATTGGCCATGCGATTCCGAGTAGCACATCGAGTCCCTCCGTCTGATGCGATAAACCCTGGCCTGGGGCCGGTTTTGGTTGCGGGTAGGGTGGGATGGCGCTTTTTTCCTGTTGCGAAGCGCCGAATTGTCCCATTGAGCCGACGAATTTGATATGAGGGGAGAGAGATAGTGATACGCTACGATACGGCACGGGAAGAGAGAGAGAGAGAGAGAGAGAGAGAGAAAAGATACGTATCTG